TGTGTGTGTCTTTGTCTTTCCTGGTGTCTACCCAGTGCAGGAAGTGTGGGGTCACAGTGTCTGGAGGGCCGCCAGCAGGCCTTCCTCCCCTTTAAAAGGCCAGAAACTTTGGGACTTAGAGACTCACCTTAGAGACACAGAGGCGGAGGCAGAGCCTGGTTTGTGTACATTATGGCGTTGTGTGCTCACTTGCTGGTAAGGGTGATTGAGTGCTTGTCATACTGTGCAAGAGTGTGTGTGTGTGTGTGAGAGAGTCTTTGTGTGTGTGGTCCTGTGGAGACTGCATGAGCCACCATGTGGGAATCACGTGTGCAGCGGCAGATAAAGAAGTCTTTGTGAGCAGATGTAGAAGATGCAGCTCAAGATACACAAACACACGCACACTTCTGCTCTTTCACATTAGGTTTCTCAGCTCGCTTTCACTCAATCATTGTTAAACTTGCTCATTGTTATTGTTTAATATCCATGAAGTATGAAATCATTACGGGTTTGCTGACTAATGGCCTGAGTCAGTCTCTTTGGTATGTGACAGTTAACTTAAAGGACATTGTGCAACTGGATAGCACAGTTTAACAACTCTTCACTGTGGGCTTGGCAGGGCTTGTCTGACCTCTCTCCAACTTTGTCTTTCACACAAACACACACACACACACACACACACACACACACATATAGTCCCAGGGACAGTATGCATGCTTCCTTGGCTGCTGCATACAGCCTTGAACACAACTTCCTCATTAACTCCTGTGATTCGCTCATATTGCACACACACTCCCAAACAAAGACACACTCGAGGAAAGTGCTGTTGTTGTGACTGATCACCCTCAAAAAAAAAAATCACCTACCCTTCTTCTTTTTCCAGTGTTTTTATATTGTTTAAGCTTGTGTGAAGGGGATGCCTCAGGCCACAGTTCTCCAACTTGTGTGTGTGTCCAGCTCTCCCCCTTTTGCCATTACAAAGCCATGATTACACCGTTTTGTAATATATACCTCTAGGTGGACATGTTTGGTGGTAGTACGACACAGCAACATTTTTGGAGCATTTATGTAGCCAGTCTGCTACCATGGTTCATGTAAAAACCTGACTCCAGGCTTTTGATTGTTTTGCTGTACAAGAAGAAACAAGCCTAATTATGACACCAGAGTAGATCTATTTGTGCTGTGCCGTGTTGTTCATGCTTACTGTTCTTCTGTGTTTCTGCGCTCAGGTACTTTGGATGTTATTTTTTAGGGATAAAGGTTGATAAGCCAAAGTTTCAAGCGTCGTCTAATTTTGGAGGATTGACGTCACAAGATTGTGCCGGCGCCGACTGATGTGACTCCGACTGCTGCTTACAGCTTACAGCAATTATTCAGTATATTCATTTACACATTCTTGCACAAACCTCTTTCAAACTAACTCTCACATAATCCCAGTGTTCACAGGTCCCGGTGGCGGCAGCAGCCAAAGCTGCTTTTATTCGCTTCAGTCTAGACGTGATTTATTACTGTTCATTCATGTCTCCTTGTCTGTCTGTCTTCCCATTTGGCTTGAGCTCATCGATGCTCGTCTTTCAGACGGTTTCGGGGTGTAGGTGTTTGTGGCTCTTGTCGGTGAGTCTGTCTGTCACCCTCCTACTCTTTAAGTGGGTGTCATTTTCTTGCGTTCCTCCAAAGAGGTCTGGCAGTCTATCCATTCCCCTGTCATATGTGTGTGGGAGTGGGTGTAATGGTTTGTGAGCCAGGCGTGGTTTTTACCATGACCTTTAACTGAAGCCATGTGGCCAGCTCCGGCCTCCCAAACACAGACATGCTCACAGGCAACCAAGACGGAAAACCGGCTTTTTGCTTCAATGCCCTTCTGCTAAAATACAGTTAATTGGGCTTGGGTGGTGTTACGTGGGACTAGCCATGTTGTTTTTAAATAGCCATGCATGTACAAGAAATGGTCAAAAGCAGGCTTTTTGGCTTTGCCTTTCTGTATAATAAACCGCCACAGCGGAGAAGAAACCACCCCCCTTTCATTCAAACAACTTAAACGACATCACGCTCGTGCAAATCTACTGCTACCCGCATCCTGAACTCAAACACAAGTTCAGGATGCGGTGCGGCAGCATTCCAAGGAGATCTGAAGCTGTAAACAAAACGCGGCCGCTCCTCGATGTGTGCACGCTGATGTTGTAGCATCCGCCGACGCTGACCCTTCATTCAAGGGTTCAACCAGTTTACCAATTGCCACCGAGACACACAGGGAGGCCGTGAACTTACAGACACGGAAGACAAACACATTTCACACAACTCATGCGGGAACCAGCTATCTCGTGTGTGTTTGCAGGTATGAAGCCTGCTGCCCTAACTTGAAGGGACCTACTGAATCACTCGTGACTCAGGGACGGGGCAGCACGAGCTTAGATACGCTACTCACGCCATGCAGGCTCACACACGCTGAGGTGTGTGTGGGGTTTTGCCTTAAGCAGTTTTTTTTTTACTGACTTTACATTAAGTCAGTATTTACTGCATGCAGAAAGATAGCTTCTTTACATCAATTGGACCTTATTGCATATGTATAGCATGTGTAGATTTGTTCAGCACATGTTCATAGGTTTGAGCGTGCGTGTGTCCAGTACGTATGTGGGTATTCTGGATATGGAATACATGCGTGTGTAGCCTTTACGTCTGTTTTTTCTCAGACGCCATCCAGTAACTCACCTCATTGGCCAATAGAATATATGCAAGTGCCAATTTGTGATTACTCTGTAACAAGAATTGCATATATACGTTAACCTTGTGGCTATTGTCCTATTCCATCTTCTGGCAATGCCTTCAGCCACGTCCAACCGATCTCTCAACCTGCCTGAGTTTGCTCATCTTTTGTCTAGCTCAAGGCCTTTACTCTACACTCCTCCTCCTCCTCCTCTCAGCCTCAACATGTCTGCTGTTCTCCACCTCTGCATTGCCCCCCTCCCCTCCACCTCCCTGTGGTGTTTAATGTCAAAGGGAGGTGCACCCACGGGTTAACCTTCACAGACTCAAGATAAACACTTGCTTTCTTGCGGGTTTGATTGTCCCCGCTTTGATTGTCTCCCTCATGTTCACTCTCACGTAGTCTTTATCGATCTCTGTCTATCCTTTTCAATACTATTATCGTTTTGAACTGAATGTCATTACTTTTGGCTCTAAATTTGTATTTTCTTATTATCCGCCGTTTCTTTATCTTTCTTGCAACCCCCGCCCCCCCCCCTCTCTCACTGCCCTGTTACTGTCCTGCTATCGATCAAGGTCAAATGATTAGGTCCAATGATTAGGTCAAAGCTAGCTGCGTTTATTCGATGTGTCATGAAATAATATGTCTACTCTTGCAACACTTCAGCCTCAAACACACTTGCCTTCTTTTGAGATGGCCCTGCTCACCCACATTCTTCCTAAACCCGCTACATACACACCCACACACACAGCCATCCACCTTTGAAGTGCGGCCAGCTGCGGCCCTTTAGGGGGTGCGGCCTTTGACCTTGAGTTCAAAGGTTCGGGGCCTTAACCACCAAGGCGCAAGATCAGGGAAGGCTGAGCCAGCTATATCAGCCTTGTATTGACACAACTGCACACACGCACACATGTATGTGTATGCATGACTGTTCTCTGTGTACTAGCTCAATAGAGAAACATGTGGAAGCTGCCATGTGGGGGTGCGTTTTTAAGACCGGAAGGGAAGAAAATCTAAGACTGAGTATGGAAAGACAAGTGGAAAGTGGAAAAGAGGCTTTTAGCTTGGTTTGTTGGTTTGGTTTGTACCAAATCCATCCATGTTTCATAAATAGATCATTTACTTTTGGTCTTCCATGCCGACAAAGCCAAATGGCCACAGTGTCTTTGAGTCTTTTGGTCAAGGGTCACATGGATGTCACAGAGGCAGAGAGGAGCGGGTAGGGAACAGGAGGATGGGCTCCATGGGAAGTGTGAAATGGCAACATAAATGTCGCAGCAAGTGTCAACCACAAGCAATTTTTAAAAGGGCACCTTCTTAATCTTAAGAGAGCCAAAGGGGGGAGGAGTGGGTGTGGGGGGGTGGGGGGGGGGCGCAATGTATTCCCCGCTTTCTTACTTTCTCCGGTGAGTGTGTGTGTGGGGCATTTCTGTGTAGCCGAGTCCAGTTTAGTCTACTGTGTGTTCAAGGTGCAAGTGGAGGTGTGTGTGTGTGCACGCACGTGAAGGTTTCGAGGGTAGAGAGGAACACCAGGGTGCCACCTGTTCTCAGTAATGTGCCCCAGCTCTGACACTGAATCACTGAACAGGCGGCACATGAGGAACACCCACACACACACACACAGATGGCCCAGCGCTGGTCCAGGCCCTGCTGTGCCTTTTGCCTGACACGCATACACAGACGCATAAATTGTATGCGCGGTTACGGATTACATATTGACAACATCATGACCCCACAACATTCACCAAACAGACTTAAAAAGGTGAATGGAATAGAAAAACAAGGTCTCGATCTTTTAACCCAATACTGAAGGTATGACCACTGCTTCAACCCGCACTGGAATGTCACAGACGCATTTGACCTAGTTTTAACCAAAGAAATAGAAACGCTCCTATGTCGTCAAAGCACATCGTGGCAGAAAAATGATTTATAAATAATACTTGATTACCACAATTCTAAACAAGTACATTGCAAAAAAAGAGAAAGCTACAAATACTATATTATGCAAATTATGGTCCAAATCAGGTAGAAATGTTTGTATTAGAGTAAATGTTTAGCACATATGTATGATAATATTGTACATGAATGAATATATAAATGTATCCTTTGCCAGGTCGGTCACTGAAGGAGCTGCCCATGGCTGATAGTCTCCTGCATGGGATGGGAGGGGTTGTCCATCAGGGATGATAGCTTGGCCATCCTTCTCTCTCCCACCATCCATTGGTCCTTCTTAACCAATAAAGAACAAGTAACTGCCGCTCTAGTTTGCACTTTTACACGACCTCTAGTCTGACCTTTCTTCATGTTGTGGTTTCAGGGAGGTGGGAGGTGTCACAGTGGCCTGCCGAACAAGACGGACTTCATTACCCATGATCGCCAGGTAAGAATCTCGTTTAGCTTACTGCTGACACAGCTCCTCTCCCCTGGTTTAAACCACATCAGAATGAAAAAGGTCAATCATTTGCTATTTTGTTAGCTTTGTATTCGCAAACAAGTAAGCAAAACCCTTGTGGTACATTTTTGATTGCAGACATATGGTCACGTGAGTGTTTATTGGCATGTTAGGAACACATTACTTTCACTGTTATGTAATTAGAGCTGAAACTATTTTGATATTCATCTAAAAATACTTTTAAGGAAAGATAACACAAACTAGTGTTCAAACTAGTTCAAGCCTATTAAGTGTTTGTTGTGACAAATTATGGAGTAATTATGAGTTCCAACTTATTAAAAAAAACAAAAAGCCAGTGCAAGTTTCAATCAAAATTTTAATATGAGCCCACCGAAAACATGTTCACGCTACACTCCACAACATTTAGTAGTTGGTGTTAAGTACATTAGTGTTTCATACAGTTTTAACTACTATAATGTTAAAAATAGTAATAGAACACAAAAAAATAATTTCAATTGTAACAATCCTCTACATAAAACAGCCTTAGTCTCAGTCAGCTTCTCAATGTTATCCGCTTGTTTTTAACTCTAAATAGTAGTTAGAGCATAAGCATTTAGCACTAATGACAATTTTACCAACCATGAGCAGATGGATGATTTCCTGTCCGGAAAATGCCCCAAAAGAGCCACCTGAGCTTTTTAAGCTCCTCTAAATGGAGTTTGCTTTTCGCTGTCTATGCCGGGCAGGGCTCCGGTGCTGAGCTTATCAGGGAGCCGCAGGTACAATTAGCCGGTTGTTTGAGGAGCTAGACGGAAAGCCGGTCTCCCCATCGGCCCCTCTACCCTAAAAAAAAACTAATTACGCGAGCTGAAGCGCTCTGCTCAGCTGGCTACATCGCTGCTATATGTGGGTGTGCTAAGCCAGGCTGTCTGTCTGTGTCAGACTGACGGCGTGGCTCTCCGTCTCCTCGTGGTGTGAGTATGTGCGTGGAGGTGATTATTATCGTGTCTCTCGGTGTACCCAAAAGGCTGACTCACGGTACGCCACATCTACACACGTACTGTCCCACGTGCGTACTCAGCCTCCACTACATATTGTAGGCTGAGAAGTACCATCTGTACCAGGGACAAAGTCTCCTACGACTGCAGGGCGCACACACACACACACACACACACTCATGTTTACTTTTTCTTTTCTAATGCTACTCTGTATGGACCTCTTGAATATTACATGCTGGTGGTTGATAGGGCAGGAATCTAGGGTCATGTACCCATGGGAGAACTACTACACTCAATGTGTGCACACACACATAATGCTTTGGCTCCTCTTGTTGTGGGACAGGAAGGATGTAGGAATTGAGCTCTTAGATTAATAATATAAAAGTAAACTAAAAAGGAAAACCTAGGCCCATACACAACTGTAAAAATGAGAATTAATGATACTTTCTGGCTATTATCATGCAGGATAGACCAGTGCAGCAATGGACAGCAGTGATAAGAAGCACATAATAACATCATATAAGCCTACGCTCAGAATGCACTAGTTTACAACTCCATTATGGGTATTTAAAGACCTAAGCACTTCAGGGTATAATAGCTTCCAGATTATGTTGTTAAAAAGTTCTTCCAGTTGACTTGATGCATTAGAATGCACATACTGATTATGGCATTACTGGTGCAGGTTTTCTGAGTATGTAATTAGATCATATGGGATTAAATCACTTCCATCCGTTTACAGAGAAATGTCCTGCATCGGTCTAGAAGCTTTTCAGCTGCTTCAATCTTTCTTTCAGTCTCTTAGAATTGAAAGCGGCCTCTGGATTTCTCACCGAAAACCTTAGTTTTTCCTCACTGTTGCGGGCACAATAGCAGCCGCTAACACTTAATTACTACTTACTGCCACTAATTTTGACCAACACACTTACAAACGCTGCAGTCAAGATCACTGTTGCTGTATGAACTGGATCTGTCCCCCGAGGTTACGGGTTTCTCCACGCAGCCTTTAACAGAAGAAAACAAAACAGCCATATACAAGCACACTACCTCCCATGGTCATAAAGACCTCCACTGTGCAGCGTCCCCCTTCTTTCTAAACACAAACCCCATTACTGAACATTCATTGTCACTTGACAGTAGACTCCAGATCCTTGTGGCACATACGGCACATGCAATGTACTTACTTCATTAGTGGTTTGAATCGGACGTACTGGAAGTATAGTCGCGTGAAATATCTGAATATAGACTGTGAGGAACAGAGAATGAGAGACTGATGGCATCAGTTGTACTGAGCCGGAGAGGTTTTATGATCTTCCGATGATTTTATTTAGTTGTTATTAGAATTGTTATGAGCAACTTTGTGTGTCCTTATATCATCATCTCAGCATTATCTATGACACATTCCCAACGTCCCTGTTGCAGCTAATTTTGCCTCCTGTTGTCCTGCTGAGGTTGTTCTTTCTAAATATAACTGCTACACGTGTGTGTCTGTGTGTTAGCTGGGGACACATACTGTTGGTGGTGCCCGTATGGCTCTTTGGCGTTATTACAGAGTACAAGATGGTTATTTTGGCGAGGACGTTTCCGGCCTCCGAGAGGCCCATTTCTATCTCACAGCATCGTAGCTGTGAGCTAATAGAACATGATTCCTCTTCTTCTGCCTGCACAGTCATGATATGAAAGATGTTTATGTCCCCTACTAGAAAATAAAATGTATTATCCTCATAATCTTTATTGATATCCCTGGCCAGTATGGTTTTGCAATGATTTATGTTGTGGTTTACATACTGTTTCTATATCGATATATTACGTGTGAACAACTTGACTGAACAATACAAAGCCACTCGATTGAATGAATGATTTAATTTAATTGCATACAGGAAGGTGGGCAAGGCCTGTAATCCTACACCTTTGCAAATGAGTTATAGCCTGCAATTAATATTTGTGTTGGTGGCTTATGCTTTGTAGATCAGTTACAAGCTATTTACGACCGAAGCTATTGGCAGAAGGTGAATGATAAACACTCCCCTGGCAACCCAAATGCTGTTCTGTTAAAATGACTCAACTGATCCCTAAAACATGGTCGAATTGTTTACTCGTATTGATAAAGCCATTAGTAATAACTCATAAATGCTTAATGTGCTTGTGGTGTAAAATATACCCGGTACAATAGTGAACTGTTTCCCTATGCCTCCCTTTAAAGCTTAGTAAAGGACAGGCGACCACAACAAGTATGTATTTATGAATATACGTTTATTCTGTTCTGTTTATGCTTTATTAACCAGCGATGATCAAATGAACGGCGCACGTTTATTTGAGAACTAGTTCGCTAAGTGGAATAAGACTGTGATACTAAACCCGTCTTCCTGTGCTAAAATGGCTTTACGGCTAAATTACTCGTTCTCCTCCGTAAACATACCGCGGTGCTGTTCGACAACGCGGATCTCTGTCGCCCCGGCAGCAGCTCCGGTACCGGTACTCTGACTCGGTGCCAGTCTGCGCTGTCAGGGAATTCCGTGGGGCGCGTGGTGACGTCACGTATACGCGCGCCCTCTGTTTGGATTTGCGTGTGTTGTGAGCGTGCGCGGCTCTGCCCCCTTTAAATGTGGAGCTCGAGCGCAATACGATCCGTGGCTGACTGCCGGCGAGTGAGAAGCAGAAGTAGAGGAGGTGGGGGGGGCAGAAAAAACGAAAAAGAAAAGAAGGAGCTCGACGCGGAGAGACACCGAGACCCGAGCGAGCGAGCGGACGGATCGGTAACCGGCTTTTTGCCCCGGACATCGGGGGGAGGCGCTGCGGCCAAAGAGGCTGCTCTTGTTCGGCCGCGGTTTCGGGAGGAAGCGACGGAGGCGAACCGGGATTTACGGGACTGCGTGCGGATCTCGCTCAGCCGGCTCGTTGGGAATTTCTCCGCAGACTCGGGAGCCACAAGCGTGCTGATTAAAAAAAAGACCTCAAAAGTCACAGAACCGGATATTTATGTGCTTCTGTTTGGCGATTGTTTTGTTTTTTTGGAGCGTCCCATTTGTTCGGAGCCCACATTGAGTGAACGGTGAGTGCTGCTTGGTGAACCGGGGCCATTTAAACTCCGGTCGGCTTTGTTTTGGTTGTAAGCGGGCGAGTTAGTGGTGATAGAAAAGTAAGTTTTAACCCCTGATTTTCTTTAATGTGTTGACTTTTCCCCGCATCGGCTGTGCAGTTCCATTATGTTGTGAATGAAAGTCTCCTTTGTGAATCAGGACAGCAATGATTAATTAGTAATTGATCAAAGCGGAGTTTATGATCGTCTATAGTCGGTGGGGGGTCTCTATTTCTCTCTCATCCGCGGGTGACTCTTAAAACCCACGCGTTTATGCATCATCTTTACCGGACCTGTTTAATCATCCAGTGCACGTGGAGTCATTTGTGTGAATTTGCGGTTGATGGGATTTTACTTTCAAATGTTTAAAAGATAATCCCCAATTTCTAAAAACCCTAAGAACGCTATTTGATATTATTTATGCTGATGTTTCAGTGTAGAAATCAGCTCATATGCAGTGAAGATGATGATAGTTGGACTTTCATAATAGGCTACACATATTATGAAATGTGTAAATGACCCAATCGTGATTCTGTGGGACAGTCTGGGTCCTAGTTCGGCCATTGTTACCCTGAGAACTCCTGGTCGTCCCGTGTCTAGAAGGGGGAAGGAGAGCGAGAGGACTGGGAGAGAAAATTGCCTGTGTAAGGAGATCTCACCCATTGTGTGTGTGTGTGTGGGAGGGGGGGGGGGGGGGCAAGGATCACTGAGGTCGGCAGCCGTATAAAGTGAATGGATAGCTGCCACCCCCCAGTCAACCCTTACGAACACAAAGAGCCGGATTGAAAGGAAGTGATTTGCATCACCTCTCGTATTGGGGGGGAGGGGTGCTGTGTTTTGAGCCGTCCTCTTGGTCTGGGCTGCAGGGGAGTCGGTTCACTAATGTCCGACCGGCATTGTTTGGTCAACGTGAT